AGCGTTGACAGGCAGCCTCCGCAGCCAATCTGCAGGTGAGACCGAGGGCGGATGGGCGGGACTCTGTATGAGTGACTGATGGAACTGACCATTCGCCAATTAAACCCACCCTCACCCTGTCACGGGACTGACCGGTCAGCTGAGACTTTGTCCCGGTGGAGGCGGGGCTTTACTTGAGTGGCGCTTCAATTTGGCCAATCAGATGGAGAGACATCTCTGCAGCATTCCTCCCCTCGGTAGATTCGGAGAGGAGAGCTGAAGAGGCGGAGCCTCGCCCGAGCGAGTTGATAGCTGAGCCCCGCCCACTTCGCACCTAGGTCGACGCGCAGCCCCTCCGTCGTGCGGCCTTGCCTGGAGTCTTGGCCCCGACCCTCGGCCCCCACCCCCTGTGCCACCCCATGCCACCCCTCCGGGGGTGCAGCTGAGGACATGGAGGGGAAGGAAAGCAGGCTGCGAAGGGGCGTGAGGCCCTTGTGTGCGGAGGTGGGGGGCGTTTTTTACCCCCTTGTCTGCGTCTCCCTCCGGTGGGGTTGGAAATGAGATTTGTCCTTGTGGGGTTCCTGCGTTTATGTCTTGTCACCTGCCTCTCAGCACTTCACCCCTCAGTGACCAGCGAAGCAATGGAGTCGGTCAGGTGGGCCCCTCCAGGCGGCTCGTGGTTTGGGTATGTATGGGGGAAAGCCAGTTTCGAGGTCTTCCTTTGGTTTTGTTGAACCGGGGAGTGAACGGTAAAAGGAGGGAAACCAAGATGTGTTTGGCTGGAAAATTCCTGCCCTCTTCCACTCACGTTTGTTACTGACAACAAGCAGCGTAGGTGCTCCCTGCCCACCGTAGCAGTAACAGGCTGAGCTGGACCGAGCTGCAAGGGTTTCTTGGGGTCTTTGTACCTTGCTGGGCTCGGAGATCCTGGAGAGACTCTGCAGGATAAGGCCCAACTGCGCTTGGAGGGTGCGTTGTGCTCACACAGGACTGGAATTTGAGATCCCCACTTCATTGTGGAAGTGGGAACCCCCTTCCCCTCCCCGTCAGTAAGACTGCCTTATTCCTGTCCTGGATGTCTCAGAAGACAGTGTGTACGTGTTCACAGGAAATCCAGCAGTGCTCAGGAGCGTTTGGTCTGTTTTGCTGGAACATAGCAACCGTGTCGCGTCCGTACGGCAAAGTTGTGTGCGTGTGCTGGATTACTGGCCCATATGACTGACTGCAGTTATATGCTGAGAAATTCCAGCCAATTATAGAAATGCCTCAAAAATCTGCCTGAGCAACATTTATGGACAGAAGAAGATGCTATACCCAAGAAACTCAGCCCTGGTCGTGAGCAAGTTGGTGAATGGCAGGTAGTAAAAGGAAAACATGGGAACAACAGCTGAACAGTGTTTAAGAGAATGAACTTATATCCCTGCCTCTGTCACAAAATACTCTATGTTGATGGGCAAGTCACTTAAATCAGACTTTTCAGAGGTGGCAATAAAAATGTATTCCCTGTCTGTGAGACATCCAACTTGAGACCAATAATTCAGACTTGTGTAAATGGAGAGGAGTGACCTCTTCAGCTGTTGTCGGTGGCAGTGATACTTGGAATATGTAAAATATGTCACATGCTTAGAGTACTCTAAAACTCAGTTCTTAACTTATGATGAACACTTCAAACTATACACGGTTTTCCTTTACTCTCTGTTGTGTGTCACAAAACCAGCACCACATAATAGCTTTTGTAAAATTGAGTATGGGTATACTCTGGCTTGGCTGTCACAGTAGCAGCTTTAGAGCTGCATCATCATCCCTCTCTCCTCCCCCCCCCCATTCAGATTGGGTTTACACCTAAAATGTTGATGGAAAAAAAGAAGAATGGCTCAAAGCGGTAGGTTTGTGAAGCTGCTAGAAGGCATAATGGATAGATGTGATAATGTTGTAGATGGAAATGTGCAGAACAGGGAAAGAAGTGTGTCAGAGGACTTCTGTGTTGTGTTTTTCGCCTGCATCTAAATCAAGGATTGCTTACC